GGCAAGAAGGGTCTGGCGCTATGTAAAAAGTTAATTTTTCTGTCATCTTTTCTATCGGATAAAAAAAATATTTTTAAAATTTACTCAGAAAAATTTTTCTTTGTATATACGCCGTTCTGAACATCTAAAAGATTTTTGACATTTGCCAAGAATGTTCGTTTAGACGCTGCCATATAACCATACTCTTGACAATATTGTTTATATTCATCGTACAATGACCTTTCATCTAAACACTCAAAGTTGCTTTCTTCTATGAACAGTTCATATACACTCTTGTTTGCTTCTAACAATGTTTGTCTCTCTTCGGTATATGGAATTTGTCTTGGATTGAACTTAGAAATATCTAATGTCATAAAATATGAGAACAAGTGGTTGTAAAAGTCAGATGTCAAAGTTTCTGCTAAGTCGTCAAAATATTCTGTATCTTGCATATGAGCTTCTGACGTTCTGACAACTACATATCTTCTGTCAGAACTTTCTAACTTCATCGGAACAGAATTGTTTGAAACCATAATGAAGTTTGCAACATTTTCACAAACTCTTGGTCTTTATATTTTCTTTCAACAACTCCAACTTTGTCTGTTATAAGACTCTTCAAAGCATCTGAGTTCAAAACTTTTGTGTATCTATACTTTGAAGTTCATTGCAAACTATAAGTTTCATATTCTCTATTGAGGAGTTAAACTTGCCACAGATGTTTTCTAAGTTTGTCATATTCGGGTTCGAATAGCCCTCTAACAGTTTGCACAAAATATCTGTAAAGAATGTGTTCTTACCTGTTCCTTGTTTTCCAATTATAATGAGAGCAGTTTCATTCTTAGCACTTGGATGTTGTAAGATGTTTGCAAACCAACATAAGATATACTCATAGACTCTTTCGTTTCCATTGCATATAATTTCTTTGACATGGTCTAACCAAGCTTCTATAATACTGTGTTTCCATTCTACTTGTTCATATTTATATCCAGTGAAGATAGAATAGAAGTTTGGAGAAGGTGTATAAAACTTTATACCTCGAACTGAAAAATCTTCTAACTTTGACAATAAGATATCCCAAGCATCTAACATCTTCATACCAACTTGTACGACTTTTATTTTCTTAAGTTTCTGTCTACATTCTTGTTCTGAAACTATTGTTGCTCTTGGTTTGTTAAAGACAACATCCCATTCTTTCATAACATAACATTCTGGGGCAGAGTCAACATAAATGACTAAACGTTTCAAATTCTCGACTGCTTTGTTATAGTCTCTAAATGGACACATATTTCTGAATGCTTGGAAGTCATAAAAATCTGAAACATCTATTCTGTACATTTTTATAAAAATAAAAAAAAATATTATTTTATTCTTGACTTTGTTGTTGCATTTGTTGCATTTGTTGTTCTTGAGCTATTTGTTGTTGAAGTTGTTCTTGTAATACAATACTTTCACCAGTTGCATCTTCCAATTCGAAACTTTCTGCCGTCATTGACAAATACATAGGACATAAAAGTTTTACAGGAACAAAGTTTGCGTCAACTAATGTCAACGTTATACTTGCCAATGTGTTTGAGTTCACTAAGGTTGAAAATTCTGCATTCGAATGAACAATAGGCAAACCAGCAGAGAAAGTATTGTTTTATACGCATAAGTATCTTTTGGTCATAGTTAGTTTCTGTCAACATTTGAATAGCACTTTGAACCTAAGTTTGAAACAATATATAAAATAGGTGTACTTAAAGTCAATGGAACAGATAGACCTTGTATGACACCTTTCCTGTTATAGGAAACTGTTGGTAGTAAAAACCAGATATAAGTTTTGTTATTATAGCTCATATCGTTTATACTAAACTCAGTCGGACATCCAAACATAATGAAACCTGCTCTAGTTGCAGCACATGTTACATCCTCCTTAAAGTATTAAATAAGTCAACAAAACCTGTTGGTGGTATATCTGAGTAAGTATCTTCAAAGGAGTATTTTTTACCATTCACAACAATAAAGTCTTCTGGTGTCAAAAGAGCAAAACAGGCTTTAGTCGTCTTGTGTTTAAGGTTAGTTTACAATATCGTCCTTGAGGACTTGTAAGTTTGTTGTTATAGAATTATATGACTCAGGGTTTTTAGTCGTAATAGTATAAACCATTATGTCTTCTGCCATTTACATATATTTAAAAGTTTTTCTGAAAGTGGAGAAGAACTTCATCTAAACTTTCACATGGGTTTCTTGAAGTTCTCTGTCTAAGAAGTTCAAATATTTTGTAAAGACATAGAACTTTCCTTGTCTACACGAACAAACAAAACAGGGTCTTTCATATCGTTCAAAAGTGTGTAAAGTCCTTTACATGAAATAAAGTCAATTATTTTTCTTCAAACATCTTTCAAGAAGTTTTGACATTTTACTTAGCAAATAAATTTTAATGAAATGTTGTGGTCGTCAAATATTTTTATGACGTCTGGGAAACTATATTTTAAGTTCAACGTTTCACCTCCTTTCATAAACGTATATCTTGTCAATGGCATTATATGAAACACCACAGCAACTAATGTCGGGTTCTATTTCTTTGATGTTTATATCGTCTGCCTCTGTCAAAAAGTTTCAATAGTTCTTTCAAAATTTCATGAGGTGCGATGACATATGATTCACTTTACAGGGTTGTGCTCAACCAAGTTTAACATTATACCTAAAGCTTGACAATCTTCTCCTGAGTTTTAAGTTTGTCTTTCAGTTGCATGTAGTCGTTTCGAATATCTGCAACAGAACTTAAATCTCTGCTAACTTCAGGATATGTTGGTTGTTTCTTTTACAGAACTATTGTTATACCATCTTCGTCTTCGTATGGTTTCCCCACTTCAACATCTCTTTCTTTGACATTGACAACAACACTTTGACTGTTTGTTTGAGTTGGTGAATTTAACTTCACATCTGCCACCGCCATTAAACCTTTTGAAACACTTACGCTTCTATTTTTCGGAAATGACATTTTACTTCGAATAAAAATATGGACGTATTTGAGTATCTCTTCGAATTGAAGCAGAACAAAGTTTACACACACAAACAATACAAATACATTGACAGAATAGTTCTTTATACAAACAATGGAAAATGTTATAGAATAGCAGTCTTTGCTGAACCAAAATATTTTCATAAAGCAAAGAAAGTTGGTATAACCGAAATGGTGAAAGTTCTTGAAGCAGACAAAAATATAACAACAAAACTGACCGATATTTCTAAAGGAAAGTTTATAATACAATATTATGTCAAAACTGGCGTACTGTCAATATTTGACGGAGAGAAGTCAGTTCAAGAACAACTTACTGACCTGCTGCCAAAATCTGCTCGATGGAAGCTGTCGTTATACCAATCTGAGGAGCCCAGCAGGTTTCATCGAACGAATCTTCAAAAGAGCATCTTCCGTGAAAAGTGCTATTGGTTTTGTAAACTTCTTTGCTCTCAATTCATCTGGACCGTCTCTGTCACCAGTATATTGTATTTGTACAGTACCAACAGTTGAAATACCACCCATAAAGTCTTCTGAGTCAGCAAATGGAATGCCAAGCCAAAAGTTTGAACGGTCTCCATTTGTATATTGAGTTTTTTGACCTCCTGTATGGGTCCATACTTCACATATGGCATAATAGAACTTTGCATTTCAGGGTTAATGGTTGTTGTGAAGTTGTTGTTAAAGTTCATAGCATCTAATGTCAAGTTGTATGACCTCATATCCTCAACTGTGGAATATTCTTCTCTTGGATAATATTTGCCATCTATGTTTATATATATTAATACCGGGGTTGTAGAAACAAGAATAGTCATTTATAGTTCGTCTGAACAGTACAAACATAGTATCTGCGTGTTTCATTGCAGTTGTTAAGGCAATATCTGTTCTTGCACCTGGGTCAGCACTTTGGTTTCCAACTTCACCTGCAAAGTCTTTGACAGATATTTGGTGTATAGGGAACATAAGTGGAACTGCAATATATTTGGCAGCTAAAGCATTTGAAATATCTGGGTCCAACATATAGACTGCAAGTCTGCTTTCTATTCTCTTGCATTCAAATTTTTCGCATGTGAACTTAACTGGGTCCCAAGCATCTCCAGCAGCATTGAAATAATAGTTTACTTCAGTGTTGAGTTTGAGAAACCAAAGTCTAAGTCAACTTGTCTTTGCAAAAGTCACAGAACTTGGCTCCACCAGTTCCAGCTACAGTAATGCTGAATGGGTCTTGTGTTGGTGCAATGACTAAGTTATTTTTGCTTGGAGTAAGTTCGATAGAAATTTTTCCTGCCCAGTTTTTGGCAAGTATCTTAAAAACCTGAAGATGAGGAAAGATGACAAAGGAACTCTAAGTTTCAATTTTACTTTGGTTACTGCTGCTGCATTTTGTCCAGAAAGGTCAACATAAACTCCTGGAACGTTAGGGTCAAGTCTTCTTATTTTCTCAATAGTTGCATACTGGTCTGTTTGTTCTCTAGCTTGTGGTTGTACTGAGTTTCTCAAAGCGAACCATTCATAGTTTGCCCATGTTACTGTTTGAACTAAGTCAGAGTTAGAATATATCTTATATCCCATGAAAACTTCTGGAGCATATTGGTATCCGACATAGAAATTCCATTGCAACCTTTCTTGTCAGACAACTTGGCAGAAGGTTTTATTTCAATGTCTTGTTCCACGTATAAGAATGAGTTGTCAATAGAAATAATATGAAACCTGTCGCAAGCAATATCTACTGTTGTTGAAGAACCTTCTCCAAACTCACCTACGTTTCCATAAGAAACAGCAGTTGTATATTCGTAAGTTCCAGGAACTATTTCTGACCTTCTAATGGCATTGTCGCATTCGTTATACCATTCGGAAACATTTCCGTTCATGGCATCCAAAACTGTTGGCGTTATATTCTGAGCGGCGTACATTTCATATGAGTAAAAATATAGAATAGTTGGATTTATATGTCATAATAGAACCCACGTGGACAAGCTTTACTTTCTTCCTGACTGAGTTTTTAACTCTTCTTTTTCCTTCATTGCCCTCTGCTTGAAGTTGTTGCATCTTTGCTATGTTCATCTAGTATGTTGCAAATTTCCCATGTCCTTTTTGCCTTTTGGCTCTGGTCGCCCATCTCAGGTAACCTATATCCTAGAAAGAGTTTGTCATAGTCTGTATTTGAGTCTTCGCGTATTGTTTGCATGACTCTTTCCTGAGTTTCCGGTTCAAGCTCTTCAAACAGTGCCTGTCCATATGGAATATGCTCGTTTCCAAATATATGTTTTTGTAGCCATTCTGGTTTTCTTTCCATGTTACCAACTATATCTTTTGTGAATGGGAAAGCTTCTACCCAATCTTTCAGTCTTGCGTCGTTTATTTCTGTAGTTGGTTTTATTTTGTCAAGGAACATGTTTTTCAATACTAACATTTCATCTGGTACTGTCCATTTGAGTTTTCTTAAATATTCATCCCTTCTCAGTTCATTGTCTGCAAAGTAAGTTTTTATGACATTTTGTAAACTTTCGTTTGCAAGGTCATGTACAATAGGTTCTCTTCCTTCGCTCTCCCTAACTTTCTTTCTAAACTCTTCACCAAATATACCATCTCTATGGTTCTGTGTAGTTCTTTGAGATAAATGTTCTAGAACGTCAGGTGTTATATTTCCATCAGCCATGTTCATTTCATACTGGTCCAAAATATCTGCATGTTTCATATCTTTCAATGGCATTAAAGCCGCGCTGAAAATACCAGCTATATCTCGTTCACATTCGCTTCCATTGCGTCTACAACTTCTTGGAATTGAGGTTGTAAGTTTATGAACCACCTATCGGGTTAGCTTTATGACCCCATCTCATTGTAGTTCCATCGTCTGCAGAAACAAAAGTAGGTTTGTTTCCATCTTGGTTAGGTTCTGAATGAACTTTAAACAATGTTTCATTTCTATATGTTTTGTTGAAATTTAACCTTTTATTTTCACCGAGTTCATCCGAAGATTGAACGTTAAATGCTCGTAAGTAAAAAGGGTTGTTGTATTTGTGTACATTTTCTTTCAGTACTTTCATTCTATGCTGAATATTTTCATCTGGTGTTGGAGTCTTTTGTATGTCGGCAAACATTTTTCGATATTCTTCTACTATGTCAGCCGAATCTTTCTTAGACTCTTGGAAAGATTCCATATTCACCTCATGCTCTTGTTGAGGGTCAAGATTTTTCGGCTGTTCCAAATCTTCATCTAGTTCTGTGAAGTTAGTTTCCAAAGGAGTGACTTGTTCGTTTCCTTCAGGCTCTTCTAGCTGTTGTTGCTGAACTATTTCTTCCATGTCTGGTTGTATCTGAACTATTTCTTCCTGTGGAGTTTCTTGTACCTCATCTGCTGGCATTTCATATATTCCGAGACCGTTTTTAACAATTTCCCTATCTACGTCATCCGCATTCATAAGCTTTTGTTCTTTCGTTCCGTCTCTATTTTTTACGCGTTTCATGACGAAAGTTGAATTGTCATTTAGCTCTGACATCAAATATCTCGGAGTAAATTCATCCATGTCATTTGGATGATATGCTATTAAATCATATCCCTTAGCGAGCTTGTATTTTCCAGGTTTGAGATTATATCCGTTTTGGTGCTGAGCCATAAAGCTAAATAGGTTCGGGTCAGTATTTCCATCCTTGAACTTTCCAATAGCTTCTTTATATCTGTCACTAAAGTCAACAGTATCTGGGAAACCACACTCTTCTTTAAGCATTTTTAAGAATTCTTGGTTTCCTTGTTCTCTACTTCTTTTATGTCCTTGCTCTGTTTGTGTTGGTTGTTGTGCTGGTTGTTGTTGTGGTGCTGGATTTTGAACTGTTGGTTGTTGTGTTGGTTTTGGTGCATGCTTGTGTCTGTGTCCATGTGACGATGTAAATGTTTTAGGTAGTCCTGGTGCAGGTGCTTCTCTTGGAGGTTTTGGTGGTATATAAGTTCCACCAGCTGGCACATATGTTCCATCTGCAGCATAATGTCCTACCTGACTTTTCGTTTTTAAGAAAGCATTTACTAGGTCTGTTTTGGTCTGTTGTAACTCTTTTTCTTGACTTTCCACAACAGTTGCTCTAACGGCGTCATAGGCACTTTGAACTGCCTGTCTCGTTGCTGCATCTGTTATTTTCGTCATATTTTGTGCTACTTCTCTTAACTCGTTGTCGAAACCTTCAGACTTCAGTTTCTTTCCAGATGAGAAGTCGTTCACTTGTTTCACCTTACTATGAAGAGCTTCGAAGGCGTTCTTAAAGTCAGCATTTGTTAAAGTTTCATTTGAACTGTCTTCATCCGCTTGTATTTTTGTCCTTATTGACCCTATGAGTTGGGCTGCTTTAGCGTTGGCTTGGGCATCTAACCAGTCATTGTTAGCTTTTATATATTCTGCGCTTTTCATTGCCTTTTGCATGGCTGCGTCGTTATTTTTACTTTCTTGTGCTAAGTTTTCATACTGTACGGTTTGGTTTTGCAACTGTAAAAGTTTTTCTGCCTTTACATTTGCTTCAACTTCTTTTTTATACTCATCGCTATCCATATATGTCTTCAGGGCTTTTTGTTTTATCTCTTCATCTTTCAGTACTTTATATTGAGTAGTATGGTTTTTCAAATTTATAACATCTTGTTCCATTTTTGCTACTTCTGCTGCTTTTTCTGACACTTTTTTCGCATATTCCTCTGTACTTAGTTCTTTCAGTTGTTCTTCTTTCTTCTTTTTCTCTACGTTTAACTCATTGAGTTTCTTTGTGTGTCTGTCATATTCTAGTTTCTTTTCGTTTTCACTTATTTGTTTCTGTATGTCTATGTTTGACTTTTTGACATCTGTTATTTGATTTTTGAGTGAACTCAAATTCATTTGACTTTGAGGGTTATAAGCTGTTCCGTCTGCAGCTCCACCATAGCCTGCCATTTTCGCTAAAAGTGCCGCTCTTAAACCTCCACTCTGTGCACCAATAACTCGGTTTAAAAGCATAGGGTTGCTTGACATTTGTTGCAACATAGTGGGGTCATTCATAATTTGTTGTTGCAACTGTTGTTGTGGTGTCAGTTTTACTATTGGATGTTTCAATGCTCTCTTCCTCTTACGTATATTCTTACGTAGCTTACGTGGCATTTTAAGTGAAGTAAAAAACGGTTTTTGACAGATGTTTATATGACACTTTTTGTTCAGCACAAAAAACTACTCGGTCAAAGTGTTGTCAGTTTTGTAAAATAACCGTCCTATCTCATATTCTATCTTGTCATGATTTCATCGTAAATGTTTTGTCAAGACTTCTTCGTAATGAGTGTAAATCAGACAAAAATATATTTTATGTTAGCATGTTAGATCTAACACCTTTTCTAACACGTTTTCTAACATGGTCTAAAACACACAAAACTCATGAAATTTCATGAAATTTACAGCAAAAATATATTTTATGTTAGAATGTTAGATCTAACATGTTTTCTAACATGTTTTCTAACATCGTAGAAAACTCATGATTTCTTCGTATATGTTTTGTCAAGACTTCTTCATCGTCAATGTTTTGTCAAACTTCATCGTATATGTTTTGTCAAACTTCATCGTATATGTTTTGTCAAAACTTTCTTGTCTATGTTTTGTCAAAACTTTCTTGTCTATGTTTTGTCAAAACTTTCTTGTCTATGTTTTGTCAAAACTTTCTTGTCTATGTTTTGTCAAAACTTTCTTGTCTATGTTTTGTCAAAACTTTCTTGTCTATGTTTTGTCAAAACTTTCTTGTCTATGTTTTGTCAAAACATTTACGATGAAATCATGAAAATTCATGAAAATTCATGAGTTTTCTACGATGTTAGAAAACATGTTAGAAAACGTGTTAGATCTAACATTCTAACATAAACATTATTTTTGGGTCCTTTACGCTCATTACGAAGAAGTCTTGACAAAACATTTACGATGAAATCATGACAAAAAAGTCAACGGCTGGTCGGCTGGGGTTCGGTCCTCCTCTTGGGTCTTGGGCAAAATTTCTTATGGGCTGGAAGCCCTCCGAATAAAAACTTCATTTATACTAAACATCTTCAGGGCTAGAAGGCACGAAGTGCCTGGAAGCCCCACTACCTTTTTTTTTTTTTTTTTTTTTTTTTTTAAATTCGATTTTATAGTATTTAATAGCCTGTCAGCCCAAGGGCTGTTTGCTGTCTTCACTCTCTACTGATAATAACACAAAAATAACATAAATGATTAAATTTGTTATTAGTTTTCTAAAACAAAATATTGATAATAAAATATCTCATCATTTTTTATGCACACTGTAAGATATATTTTGAAAATATATCTGCACATATGTATAAATACTCTTTTACAATCTTATTTTAGAAAATCATATCTCTATTTGCTGAATCACTTAATAATTCAAACTATAAAACCATTTTTACAATTATTAGAATACAATTAGCTATTTTAACTATAATGTTTACTGTAATTGTTGCATGCTAAGTTCGGTCAACGATAGAAATTGAGTGGAAATTAATCGTCGAGGAAGTACGATTATGTAAAGTAAAAAAATGTTGTGGGATTTTTAATATTATATATTATTTTATAATAAAATTTTTTTGAGTCATTTTAAGAAGCACATATAATTTTTTGAATTTAAAAATTAAAGTAGTGTCAAACGAATTTATCACTTAATTTAATACTCAGATTTCTTAAAATTAATGAAAAAAAGGTTTTCTGAGAACTTTTGAGAATGGTTTTCAAATTCCAGTATTGAAAATATATAGGTATTGTATGAAATTCAAACTCTATATTTATTAAAATTCTAAATTTTTAATAAAATAACTTTTCAGAGAATATGATTTTGAATGGTTGATTAATAAGTATAAAAATGTCTACGATTTTAAGGAGGGAATTGTTCCGTATGAGGTATACATCATAACTATATACCTCATAAGGAACAATTCCCTCTTGATAGCTGGGAAACTTTCTCTGAATAACTTATCATTTGGAGAAAGTTTCCCAGCTATCTATTAGAAACTAAAGGCTGTGAGGCACTAATATATAATCAGTGCCTCATAGCCTTTAGTTTCTTATTAAAAACGAGAAAACTTGTTCGAAATGATAAACAATTTCGAACAAGTTTTCTCGTTTTAAGGAGGGAATTGTTCCTTATGAGGTATACATCATAACTATATACCTCATAAGGAACAATTCCCTCTTGATATCCTGGATATTTTTGAATATATTTTTTTAATTAAAGTTCTCAAAAGTATTATCAAAAGTGATTTTTTAAAAATATCTCCAATTAATTAACTAATTAAAAGTATTATATTTTTAAAATTAAATAGTTTTTCAATTTTTTTGAAGGAATTGAGATACTTCCCACGACAATAAATAAATGAAGTTTTTATTCGGAAAATTGTTAGTCTTCTGGGTCGAAAACATTATATAATGTGTCACTTTTCACAAATTATATATGTTTTCATGTTTGTCACTTTTCTGTCACTTTTCGGGTAAAAACATTTTTATTATTATATATAAATGAATTTTACAAAACCACCGTTACCGTTCTTTGGAAATAAGAGTAGATGTAAAGATATTATATTGAGACAACTTAAGAAACTACCGAATGGTCTAACATTTGTAGATTTGTTCGGTGGAAGTTTCTATATATCCCATTTATGTCATACAATATTCCCAGACTCAAAGATTATATGCAATGACTTCGACAACTATATGA